TGGAGTTTGTGGCATTTGAGCTCCAAAAACGGTGGTTTTATGCTAGGTTTTTTGTGGTTCATTGTGTTTCAGAGTCTAACAGGTGGAACCAGCCCCGGAGTCGAAAGTTGAAAGAAAAGGCGCGAGGACCGGGCAAAGAGGAGGAAGTAGCCGTTGTTCACGGTCACCAGGACCGTGAACTGGAGCCTCAAAACTTGAACCAAAGAAGTTCCAAAGGGTTTCCACAGGTTACTGACATCGATTCAGTTCACATCGTAAGGCCGTGAACTGAAGCCATGGGCCGCGAACTGCATAAATGAAGCGGTGCGTTTTGGCTGTGTTCACGGTCCAGGCCAGATGTTCACGAGCATGAACTGGGCGCGATCAGTCTATAAAAGGGGAGCTGAAAGGAAGAAGAGGGGGAGGCCAAAGTGAGAGAAACCTTCTTCTTCTTGAAACCCTAGAGAGAGAAAGTCACGAACCAAGAGGGAGAAGAGGCTAGGGTTTGCTTCAAGTCAAGATTTGGGAAGTTTCTCTTCAAGAGAGGATTTCTACAAGAACAAGGAAGGATTGAGGCATCATAATGATGGTTTTCCCCCTTTTTCTTTGTGTTCTTCCTTCTTCTAACATGGAGTAGTCTCCTATTCACTTAGGTGTTGTAGAACCCTAACTTCTACAATGTAGGTGATTGTGTGGATTGTATGTTTGTGTTGATTTGAGGTATTGTTCATGATGATTGTGCATTGTGTGTGCTTGGTAATCTATTGTGCTACTCTAACCATGCTTAGAGAGAAACCCCCTTATCTTAAGAGGCTCAAATTGAGTTGGGTCTTCTTAGGCATTCCATTCCTTCTAACTAGGTTAAGGTAGGGCAAACCTCTAAACTCAAATTAGACACCTAGGTTAATTGTGATTAAGCCATCCAAATCTCGGTTTGAGAGAGAAGGTAAGTCAACCCTCAAGTGCTTGGGCCAAGAGGGCTACAGTCGTAGCCTGTAATGCATTCCTTGGCTTAGCGATTGAGAGTGTGGTTTCCAACCACTGTTGCTCCTCCTAACGGTTCGCAATCATCTTGTCGCACACTGATTCATTCGATCCCAGGGTTCATGGTAGTTATTTAGGGGGAAACAACTCACGAATGAAGCTTCTCACCAAGAGTTTCAATCCTTATACTTTTCAAGTCTTGCATTTTTAATCGTAGATTGTAGAGATTCTTACAAACTTCATTCCGCTAGATAATGTTTCAAATAATTAAAGTAGGGGTACATGGACCGGTCCAGGTTGATATTTAAACATACTTGCCCTATATTGCACCCATTTAAGATTTATACTTGGACCTTATGTGGGATTTAAGTGTGATATTCGGGACGAGTCAATTACTAATACAAAATCAATCTAATTAAATCTATTTTAATAATTAACATGCATTGTAAGGGTTGTTTGTTCCGAATTCACCAATTATTGTGCTGCCGTCATTAATGACATAATATTTAATATGAAATAATTATTGTGCTCCCGTCTTAAGGAAGATCTTAAACCCTTTTCAACCAATAGGAGAAGGAGAGAGAGAGAGAGAGAGAGAGAGTCATTAGTAATCATTGTCCAACTACCAAACAGAAACGTGGAAGGGTAAGACAGGAATAAAGTAAAAAATTAACTATTAATAATTATTATTGGGAAACTGCCGAAAATAAAACAAACACGGGTGGAGATTTATTTTCGAGCCCATGTCGTTCTCTCAACCCTAAAACCGCTTCGACAATCGCCGCCGCCGTCTGGACAATCTTTGTCAGTAATCCCGGCGTCTGCGTTTGGTCCCGTCGCCATCCCGGCGTCGGCGTCCAGTCATCACGTCGTCAGGTCACTATCTTCCTGTCTTCACGATGCCATCATCTTGCCATCATTATGCCCGACTCCGTCGTCGTCCCGCGCCATCCAATATCTCCTTATCTGGTCGTCGCCCCATCTTGCCGGTCCCCCGCTGTCGAGGCAAAGTTTGTTAATAATATTATTGTTTACGTTGAAAAACGAAGAGAATTTGTTAATAATGAGTTCGTCATTTGTTGTAAATTATGTAGGAAATGTTGATAATGATATTGTATATTGTTAATAATACTGAGCTGAAAAGTTGATAATAGCGTCACTAAAAATGTTTACAACACAACAAGTAAATCAAGCTTCCATTTGATTGAGAATGTTAATAATAGTGTCACTTGAAAATGTTAATAATGTTGGTGAAAACATTAATATGTACTGTTAAGACGTTGACAGCTCGGTTAAACTGCTTTAAAAACCTCAAATCATATGCTCATCATATTGTGACAGCATTTTAGTAACTAGTTAATTATTTTGATGATCTAATTAATAATCATGATGTGGTAGGTTAATAATGTTTATAACACGATCGGTAAATTATGTTTCAATTTGATTGAGAATGTTAATAATAGCATCACGGATAAATGTTAATAACGTATGTGAAAAAAACTAATATGTATTGTTGACAACATTGACAACTCCGTTAAGTTGCTCTAAAAATCTAAAATCAGAGGCTCCCCTTATTGTCACGACATTTTAGTTACCGGTTAAAAATTCCAGTAATATAATTAATAATAAAGTCGCAGAGCTTAATACTGAGGACAATATGACCATTAAATCGCATTTTTATTGATAATTCTAGTAGCGTCAGTAAAAATGTTAATAACGTATGGCTAATCATTACTATGTACGGTTGAAAATGTTGACAAATCCGTTACATTGCTTTGAAAACCTCAATCCACCAGTTGCTCAATCCACAGGCTCCTCCGTTACGTTGACAACTCTATCGCGTTTCTTTTCAATGGTAAGCGATGGACGTAGCGGGCCGACGACAAGTTTGTTCTGACAGATCTTGGATTGTGGTATATCATGTAGCACTACAAAATTTTTTATTATTATGTTCAAAATATTACTAATGCTGAAAGTACGTTAATAATGAACAAAGATGCTAATACTGCACGTTAATTAAACCGACAAGTTAATAGTAGTAAAAAATTGAACATGGCTTTGAAAATATTACTAATGGATGAAGAGATGTTACTAATAAACTAAGATTAATAATATTACATGCAAATTTAGCAGATAGATTAATAATAGCACACGCTTAATAATAAGACGAGCCATTATCAAATCATGCACGATTGACTACAATACTTCAAAACATTACAAATCACTAGGAACTAAATTGATATTAAACTATATTGGAGAATTAATTTCGATTACAAACAAATTGATAAAATAATTACAAAGCGACAATAAAAAAAGTTAATAACACAACATAACATAATTAACAAGCCTATCAGAAAACATTCACGATACGACAAACGTTGATTATTGGGCGGGTAAAAATATTGACCATAGCCTTTCAAAAGATTACAAATCATGGCTACGTAAATTGATCATAACTGTATTAGTGAAAAACCCTAAGCACACACTGTGGGTGGATCTGCCTTCTTCTTCATAGGCTTACTAAACTGTGCAGACTTACGCGTTGTATTCTTTGTACGCGCCATATTGTGGACCACTGTAAAAAATTAAAAATTGCATATAAAAATATTAACAACTCATTCTCTAATAACGATCAATACAAACAGAAAATGTTAATAACGAACATAACTTAATATTGTTGATAATGGCGGATCAGAAAGGTACAAATATAGAAAAATAAACTTTACCATTTTCTACAGAATTTGGATAAAAACCATAACACGAAAAAATTGATAACGGTGTTAAAAAAATTGTCACGTGAGCAACGAACATTGCAAAAGATTACCAATTGCACGACATATTGATTAATAATAGAGAACAAAAGATTGAGAACGAGCACATATTGATTAACAATAGAGATAAAAACAGTTTGTAAACGCCCACAGAATGATTAATAATAGATACCAAAAGGTTGAGAATGGGCACAGATTGATTAACAATGTACACAAAAAAAGTCTTCAAACGTCCACGAAATGATTAATAATAGACACCAAGAAAATTAAAAATAAATACTATTGTGCAGCGACAACGCAAAAAACTACTACCATGCAACGCCAAAACCCTAATCCCATGCAACGACGAAAAACCCCACAAATACGAAATAAACACCTTAAACGCCGCCGACGAGAGATAAGAGTTCGACGACGGGGTAGACTGGGAGTTGAAACAGAAACGGGGTTCGGCGACGGGGTAGCCCTTATCATGGACAGGGCTCGACGACAGCGGCTATGGAATCGGCGATGGTGGATTGGAACGACGACGAGAATGGGAGCTACCAGCGACGGCGAGTTGTAAAACAGGAATAGGACCAGAATCACCAGCCGACGACGGTGTAGAACAAGCAGCTACGGCGACAAAGGCAGTTGTGTTTTGTGTTGGTGGACTTGAACGACGACTGCAACCGGAGCTAGCTGCCCTCGGGGGATAACTCGAGAATCGTCGGCCGGAGAAGGGACGACCGGGAGAGACCGTTCGCCTGCTTGCGGGAGGAAGAAGAAACAGACACCAGGACGTTTGCGAGAGGGAAAATAAAGAGACGCGAGTTAGGGTTGCAGTTTTTAATTGTTTTGTAGTCTCCTTAATACCCCTAACAACTATTTAACTAATAACTCCTTAATAACTACCTAAATTTGAGTAAGCCAATCAAAACGCTTTAAGATCCTCCTTAAAAAAGAAGCCTTAAGGACCTGAACTTAGACCACTAACTTGGAAGAGACCCACGAAGATCAACTTTCCAAAATTGTAGTATTTTAACTAAGAAAACAATTACAAAATTATTAACGCTAACATTAAAATTACCAATATATTTTTTTTTTTTGGTAAAGCAATTACCAATATTTTGATGCATTAGGAAAGATTTGACTAATTAATAGCATTTTAATAATATAAAAAATCTGAAAATTTTTTAGATAACAAATATATATTACCCTTTCATCAAATATATTATATTTTGCTATTTTTTAAGTTAAAAATCCTAACAATCCACTCCTAAAATCCCTCAACACCCGGATTTCTCATTTTGTCTTTGTTCAAACCCCTGCCGACAGTTCCACGATGGCCTCCATACCAGCCGAACCCTCAATCGCAAACTCGTCCACTCTGTGTCAACAGCTGTCCGTCGTCCGTCATCCTACGCGGATCCGTCTCCCTGGCCGCCGCAAGGTGGCCTACGACTACGAGTTGCCAGACTTCAGAGGGTTGAAGGTTCAAGCGCTTTCGAAGAAGTTGACATTTACTGCGAGGAGTCCTCGGTTGCCTACAAGAAACACCCGGTGCATAGTCTGCGAATGCGATGCTCAGGAAACTGCAGTCGATAGTAAGTCCTGTTAATTTTTTCTTCTTACCCAGAGATTTTGGCTGTCCCCCTTTTCGAAATATGGATCCGCTTGTCCAAAGATGCTTGATTTGGTTTCTTTGAAAGTATTTGGTGTTCTTGCTGGATAGTGTTTGCTTTCAATTCAGGCCATACTTGGACACTTTATAGAATGAATTGATTTTAATTGAGAATCCGCTTCCCCTGCTTTCTCTCTCTGGATGTCTACAGGTTTCCCCAAACTGGCAAAACCCAATTCGGGGAAAATATATAAAGTTGTGGCTATTGCACCTTTTTGAGGCTTCTATGCAGTTTGGATAGCTATCAGGAACTTCTTGCATCTTGACTTTTTCGCACAAGGGTCTAGTGGGTAAACTTGACTAATATTGTGCAAGTTAGTAAAAGAATAGAAGATGAGGGCTTTCCTCTGCAAAGGCTACCCTGATCTTCTAATCCTCATTTGACCTTTCTTAAGCCTATTGAACTTCTATGTTCCCTCGTTCATTGGAGAACTTTCCATCTGTTATCACAGAAGTGAAAGCTTGTGCCTTTTGCCTAATTGGAGTCCTAAGAATTTAGCTTTAGCAGAGTGCCTATTGGTTGAAATGTATTATACAAGTTCTGCAGTTCAGTTTCTGATAGACAAGGTAATATAAAGTGTGTCATTGCGCTTGTTTTGTAGATACTTTGAGTCTTCTATTTCTGCAGTTTATAACTGTACATTCCGAAGCATCTTGTTTAGCACCGGATCGTAGATTAGTTAGTCAATAAGCAGTTAGAAGTTAAGACTTCCACATCCCAGGGAGATTAGGGGAAAGCTGATAGTTGGAAGGTTGAATCACTCCTTACAAGCTGTTCTTGTTTCATTGGTGAAGCAGGGAGCTGGCAGTTAATGCCAGTTCTAATTCTAACGCGCACTAAGCATTCTTCAGGTATCTAGCAGTTTCATATACGATGGCGTGAGAATGTTATAATCACTGCTCTATTATTTGGATTCAAATTCATGCTGTAGTTTTATGTTACTTTGTTCTTTGGCACTGCATATTGCTAGCAGATTCGAGTAAACCAAATCGAAGTATCTTCAAACTGTTACTCACCATGCTCTTCTAATCTGGTTATGTGAAGTATCCAGACTAATTAAGAAGTTGTCATGTGTTCTCCCAATCAACAAGAAAATTTGTCATAAGCATTCTAGCCCGGCCGCCTATCACATGTTCGACCCATTTTTCATTAAATGGCGTTCTTGTTTGCCCTAATTGTTTGTGAACTTTTTTTCCCCAGTTCCAACAGCAAGTGATGAGACATGGCAGTCATTAGTCCTGGAAGCGAAGGGAGCAGTGCTGGTTGAATTCTGGGCGCCATGGTGCGGGCCATGCAGAATGGCGCATCCAGTAGTAGCCGAGCTGTCCAGGCAATACGCTGGGAAGGCGAAGTTCTACAAATTGAACACCGACGACAGTCCGTCCACTGCAACCAAGTATGGCATTCGCAGCATCCCAACCATCATCATTTTTGTCGATGGTGTGAAGAGAGATGCAATTATTGGCGCTGTACCCAAGACAACACTAACTGCCACCATTGAGAAACTAATTTAACAACACGTTTTTATGCCTTTTGAGTTTTGGTTACTTCGGACCAGCTGAAATTTATTAAAGAAGCAAGATTTCACTTTCAGAGGGGAAGTTTCATATGTTACAACCATTTACCCTTTGTTTTGGAAGGAAGGGAGGAAAATGAGGGGAGGTGAAGGAAAATTAGGAGGGGAGGGGAGATTTCGAGGTGAAGGAAATTGAGAGGAAAATGTTGTTTTATGGATGAAAATGGGAAGAAAAGTACGTATTGGGAAGTGTAATGAATATGTTATTTTATTGGTTATGTAATAGTAATATAATTTGATTGTATGTTAATATTCTACTTATAAATTGTAAATTAAATTTGTACTTTCTTTCTAAACTGCACTAGAGATTGTACCGGGAAAATTAGTGGTAGGGTATTTTGTTCTAAAATCATTATTTAACCATATCAATTATTTTAACCCGATAGTAGGTGTTTCCAGCCTAATTGTCGAGGGTATGATTTTAACCCGTGTTAAGTCGTTTGAGAAACCACTAATGAACCACTGGCTAATAAACAAAAATCTTATAAATAGAGACTTTATAATAATTGATCAAGCATTTTAAATCAATTAAAAATTATTCAACTGATATTATGAAATGTTTAAGAAACACAACCATACCAGCCGGTCGGACCGGAAATATCGGATACCGGACCTAAAACTATATGCGATTTTCCCTGTATGGTTTCGTAATCCTTGATAGTACACTCAAATCTCTCAATGTCCAATTAATAAAAAAACCTACTTAAGTGTTAATTTAATTAATTTGAACAATGGAGATCATAAAAAAAACTAAAAGAAGATAAATTGAAATTATGAAAGTAAAATAAAAAGTGCAATACACGAATAGAGAGAAAATGAGAAAAAGAAATAGCATTATAATTACTGGGAAGAAAAAACAATAGCATTGAGCTGGTCTGTTTCTTGACTTTCTTCCACAAACCAACAGAAATTTCACTACTTCAATCCTTCATTAATATATGGTAGAGTTTTATGTACTTTTTTCACTACTTAAATCCTTCATTAATATATGGTAGAGTTTTGTGTACTTTTCTCCATTTCAAATTTCCTGCAACGAGAGTGAAAGTAGGAAGGTCATTTTTGTCTTTACACATTTATTATTTATTTCATATAAAAATAGCAATATCAAGATTTGAACCCGAGTCTCTTCAAACAAAGATAACAATCACAACCAGTTACACTAAACAAATTTATTGCATCCTTTTTTATACCAAAAATAGACAAAGTTAATCTCTGAAAATCAGAAGACTTTTTCATCATAATTAGCTAGCTCACTAAGTCTACCGTATGTATTTTTATCGAGCTTGATACTTCTATTTTCATAGTAGAGTTTCATGTAATTTTCTCAATTTTAAATTCCCGCTCTCTCCTTAATTTTTGCTAAAGGTAAATGGGTAATTGGCTAACATGGAAGAAACTAATTATGTAACTACGTGTTGCATCCTTGCATTTTTCAATTTAAATTTAAATTTGGTGTTTTTTTTTAATCTTTGTTCTTTTCTCTTTCTAACTTCCTCCGAAATTTCATCCATCGTGCAATAGTTTGCGCCTTTCACTTCCCAGTACAAGACTGTCATTGAAAATCAATCTTCAGGTATCTCTTGGCACTACGGTTTTATTGTTGGGGATTTTAAACTGGGCGAGTAGAAGATTTCAACTCCGATATCAATTCATGGCGAATAGAATGGAGTTCATCAATAACTGAAGTTGTAGGAGGATTAGAAATTGAATTTTTGGTTGAATATATGCCTCTTGAGATAGAAATTTGGTTGTACAACGGAGAGTGGTGGCTATTGGATCTTTAGGTTTATGGTTTTTGCAACTGTCACAACCTATTTCTATCTTAAAACGAGGAATCATTGATTGATTGTTTGAAATAGGTTGCTTCTTTATTCAACCTACTAGAACTAATAGATAAGGAGTGTCTAATTTTGCGCCTTATTACTTTGATCGAGTCTATTCGTATATTGAAGATAACCCTGATTTTTTCGTTTGCTCTCAAGTTGTGATGGTCCCCTCTTAGCTGAGTTTTTAGTATGTAGATGACTTGAATCAACAACTCTCCATTTCTTTTTGATTAGTGACATATTGTTTCTAAAAGGAGAGCATTGAACCCTTTATATAGGATTGTGAGGTTTAAGATTTAGTTTCAAACTATCTATGGGTTGTGTGAGAATTTCAGTGAGCTTCTATACTCTATATTTCTTGACTGTAAAAAAAAACTAACCAATAGCATTTTCACAGGGACTTAATTAGCATTATGAAAATGGGGTCAATGATACATTTTTATATTCTTAAATGACTATGATATTTCTCCGAATGTTCGACCTATATATTATTTCTTTATGTATCATCTCGATCGAATGATTATCAATAAGATTAAACGGGTTAATAAACTTAAAAGTAACATAAAAATACAAATAATCAAATATGAGCATCCCGGCCAAAGGGCCGGGTTATAAGCTAGTAATAAAAAGGGTAAAGATGAGCAACGCAGGGACACTTTCGATCAGATTTGGGAGGATAGGCGAAACAGTTCATTTTCCTTTGCTTTTCTTTCCCGCGGTACTCTACCCTATCTAAAAAACATAGGAAATGCCTCGGTTCCATCATTTCCCTCCAAAGTTTTCCTTTCCCTACTTTTCCTTCCTAAAAAAGGAGAGGGTTAGCGAAGAAGTCGTCTAGATGCTGAACGTTGATTACTGCCTAGTGGAATGAGATTAGTTGCTAACCTCGTAAAGAGATAGAATGGTGATAACTATGTTTATTATTTTTAAATTAAGAAGTCAATCTAATGGTTAAAATTAAATAAGAGTATATTAGACAATTTATAACCCACTATTTCCCAAACTCTAGTGCGTACATGTCACTCATTCCTAAGCAGCCGCCAAACACCTCCATACCTCCATTCAGCTGAACGTCTGGACTCCGGATTGCCCTTTTGGCCCTTCTCTCTGTGTTAGGACTTAGGAGTATGTTCCATTGGCAACATGTTTACCTGTTTCACATTGGGAGTTGTTTGGCCTTATCATGGCCATGCTTTTGATATAAGCATGCCATCGAAGTAAGATACCAATGTTAGTAAATGGTATATGATTCATGATTGAACCTCTGCCAACAATTCGAGTTATTAGGATCAACTGATTTTTGGCATGGTATTAGAGCCTTCTGTAACCAAGTGGTCTTTTGTTCGAATCCCGATGACCCCCATCTGTTCAATCCACGATTGAACCTCTCCCATCAACTGAAGTTATTGGTATCAACTAGTTCTTGACAACTGATAGACCGTTAATTACACATGTTTTTACCCCTGTTCTTACACCGTTTGAGATGTGATTTCTCGCGTTTTAGGCCGATTTCACGCTAGGTTGTGCTTGTTTGTGATATTTCAGGTCCTAGTACGTGAATGGAGGCTCGGGAGCGAGTTTGGGGTCGATTGGACGAAGATCGGGCGCGAGGCAAGTCACAAAGGAGGCCACACGGGCACACCCACAAATAACACGGCCGTGCAACTCATATTTCTGGCCGTGCGAGTTTTGCCGAGAGCAAACACGGCCTGCCCTGACAACGCACACGACCGTGTGCAGAAGTGGTCTGGCCGTGTGACTTTTGCCGAGAGCAGACACGGGCAGATGGAAATCAAACACGGCCGTGCCACTCTGGCCGTGTGAGAAGCCTGAAGATCGAACTAAGTGCAACGCAGCGTTTTGACTCACACGGGCAACTGGGTATGCCACACGGCCGTGTGGCCCTGCCCGTGTGAGTCGGGATTTCCTGGTTTTAACCCAATTCCGGGCTGCAAGAGAAAAAATCGAATTTCTTGAGCAAAAACAGAGCCCTAGAGAGAGAAAGTGCGAAGAACTCACCCTAGAAGCCATCTTGGAGCTGGGTTTCATCAAATCAAGCTTGGAGATCGTCCTAGGAGTGGAAATCATCATCCCGGAGCAGATTTTCCTCATCATTATGAGTATGACTACTCCGATTACTGTTTTCTTCTCTCTCTCTATGGAGTAGAACCTCTCTCTCACTTGGGGATGAAAAACCCTAGTTCTATGTGTTAGGGGATTGATTGTAATGACTTGGGATGATATTACTGTTTGATTTTAATCGAATGATGCATGTTTATTGAGTCAATTGAAGTCTGATCAACTTTTTCAGATTCCTGCTGCAATCTGAGATAGATAGAATCTGATTAGGTTGCTAGAGTCTCATCATTCGATAGTAGGAGATTGGCTATACGAGAGTTAGCCAGTTTACTGCTTTGTACTGGAATCCAATTCCAATAGTGGAGTTCTGTTCTTACTGCTTCAGCTTTCTATCCCGGTGAAGACTAGTCGTCTGCCGGGTAGTTAGACTGAGAGGGCTTGGTCAGCTTAAGAGATTCCAAGCTACTGCCGGAACTTCCGCAGTCTAATCGACAGTAAATCAACCCAGGGTAAATTGCAATTGAACCTAACTAAGGAGCTAGGGGGACTCATTCCCGAGTGACTCTTTCCTGCTTAAGAAAATCGTATCAATTCCTGCTTTATTTCTGCTTTAAGTTTAAACAACAATCACTTACTTTAGTTGGCTAGATAACAGAGAATCACTGAGTAAGCAGTAGATCTAGACCCCGGGTTGATAATATAACTTGCCTGTTACTGCATTCCCGGTCTGCGATTATACTTGGTCGCAGATTGGTGTTGTGTTCAGTGTCCTTGTCTAGACCCGTTCTCAAGGTATTGCATAATTAAGGTTAGACACAATTTCATAATAAAATACGAGCCTTTAGTTTTGAGTGGTGTCACAATGATCCATATATAGGGGGTGCGAATTAATGACATTGATTTTCTCTAGTTTTTTAATCGGCACTTATTTTTTGTTCAAATTTGGATTTCATTTCAAATTTTAGCTTCGACGGCGGCTGAGGCCGAATAGATTCTACTGTTGACGTTGGCGGCGCAGTCGGTACAACATTCGATGCAGTAGCTTCACATTTTTTTTCCTCTTCTTCCTTAGAGGGAAACGCCTCCCCCCTTCAAGACAGATGGAGGCAACGTCTTTGATGTGTGACGCGGCATCAACCAAGCCATGACTAGCGAATGATAGGTCGGCCGGTACCTCTGGCTAGCGGCATGAGAAGACGACCTCCTCTTCCGCAATTGTCGCTGGTGGAGGCGCTGGAGCTAGCTTCTCGTCGGCAACAACTTCAGGATTGAAGTCTTCCTTAGCGGCCATGGTTGCCGGTGACGTGG